CCCGGGGCACGTTTCAGGAGGAGCAGATCAGGATCTACCGCAGAAGCCTCAGAATCTGGCGTTTTGCCCTTTCCACCCGGCGGCTTCCTCCTGGGAGACCGGTCTCGGGCTTTACCAGAATCATCCCTAGACTGGTTGATCTCAGTCTCAGGATCAGAGTCATCAACATGAGCCACAAACTCAGGGGCCACCCATTTTTTCTTGGGGGCAGGCACCGCAGTGGAGGAAGCATCTTTGCGTGGTTTGGGAGATTCCCTCAAAATGGTGATATGGCAAGAATTGTCATGGTTAGCATAAGACCAGGTACTATCGACGGTCTTATCTTGGAATGGGGGAGGGGAGGCATGAAAAACCCAGACGTGTTGACCGCGTCTCTTGGCGCGGTTGCGAACCTCCAGGGATTTCCATCCTTCTTGAGAGAGAAACTGGTGAACATGGCGGTGCTCCCAAAAAGTTGGGACCCCATACATGTCCCATGATTGGCGTCTGCCAGGGTTGAACTTCATGGGATCTCCCCCAACTAAACCAATATCGTTCCCACCCCCTTGTCGCAGGGCCAGTGGACAATTTTCAGTTTTGGATTTCTCCAAAGCAGCTCGGAAATAAACCTCAGTGGTGAATCCCTTTGGCTTAGGCAACCAAGCAACCTGAGGCCGAATTTCCTTGGTGAGGACAGTGGCAAAAAGGCCCCGGAGGCCTGAGACCCCGCAAACCTTGCGCGCCAGCTCTTCACTGACCCGCAAATGGCCAACCAAGATTTGACCATGTGCATGCTTCATGAGTTCCCATCTGCCCCCCGTGAGAGCAGCCACAGGAACACCTGCGGTTTGTGCGAACTCGCCGATAACATCACTTGGTTTGTCTTGACGCTCAACCCCAGCAATACCACACCGATAAAATTGGGGGGAAAGCAGCCTAAGAGTGACCAACTTAGGGGGCAAAGTTTGGAGCATTTGCACCATTTGGGGAGGCCGAGGCACAGGACCTTCGTTGTACGAAGAGATTTGGTGAGGTATGACCTTATATCTGAAGGGTGGAGACGCCGCTTTGCGGGAATCCCACCAACAAGAAATGGTCGGCCCAACCTGTCGGCCCGGAGAGACCACAGCAACTGTCATGGCTTGGTCCAGCCCATAAGCCTGCCATATTTGAATGACTTCAGCTGGAACCGCTTCATCAGCGGTCACGATCAGATTGCCGGTAACAACATGATTCTGCCGCAAACAACTCATGGTTTGAGGAATACTGGTGATAGTCGGGGGCGAATCCCATTCAACCGGATTGACCCGGGCCACAAACCTAGCACGTTTTCTTGGGGGGCCCGCGGTACCTGATTGCCTATTAGAACCAAAAGACCAGTCATCCACAACCGAACGGCCAACACCGTGGTTAGGTTTGGTAGAACTAGGTTCCTGATGGGGATGTCTCAAAATGCTTTTGGAATGAGAATCCTGAGATCGTACCCGACGCTCCGTACCAGAAGGCAAAGGAGGAAACGGTTCTGGGTCATCAAAGGTGACCCGTCTGGTTTTCGACTCGCTGGAGTCCGCGGGAATGTTTCCAGCAATGACCTTAGTCAATTTGGATTGCATCCGCTGAATAATCTCTTGGTCCGACCACGAATTATCAAGAGCGGACTGCAAAATCTGCATCAGAGAAGTGGCCAAGTTAGACTTGGGCTGTGGCACAAGATTGCCACCCTTGCCCTTTTTTTTGGGAGGGGCACTGATGCCCTGTTCATCACCTCGGGATTGAAACTTTTCCATGGCACGCAATAGCTCAGTGGCCAGGCTGACATCCGCTTCTTGGGACGCAGTCTGTTCCTTCCTTTTGCGTTCCGTCGAGCGAGACCCTCCAGGTCCCGGACCCGGATTGCTGGCTTCACCAACGCGTTGGGCATTCCATGGATTCCAATTTCCAAGCTTACATATGAAATTGAGGACAGTGGTACCCAAGGAATACTGACAGTTCCCCGAAAACCAAAGCCTGCCAAATTGCACAACTGGGTGGTTCAAAAAAGTTCCCAAAAGAAACCAAAAACGGCTGCATCCCATAGGCCCTCGAGAAGCGGTGGATGCGATCTGCTGAGAAGATTTGCCAGACACACAGAAAGTAGAACGGCGAGTCAACCGAGCATTCCGAATGGCTTTCAATCTTTTCCAAGCAGCTTGCTTTCCTAAGAGTCTGTAACGTTTGTTTACGACTTGTGTCTCCGTTTGCCAATCCATCTGCAAGTGCCGGCCCATCGGCGTGAGACTATGGTCTATTCTTGGGCTTAGTGAATTTCTTCCTAGCTCTTCGTCTAAGTCTTTGGGTGAAAATGGTGAAACTGGGGTTGGCAGAAAACAACCAAACCAGGCACATAACAAGAGAGTGAGCAGAGAGATCCACATCCAACATGTCCTGCAAGTCCTGCAAAGGCTTCTGCGCTGCTGAAGGGCGCTGCGCACCCGGTTTGCCGCCATGGCTTGACCAGACCAACGAGTTGCGGCTAGACCCAGGGGTGCCCAAAGGGCAGGTACTATGTGCCACCAAGGCGCCTGGTACCATCCCACCAAACAAGCCCATAAAAAGGAAACCAGGGGGACCGTTGGGGGGGATGCGACCGAAACAAAGAAGCAACAGCCACATCAAGCGGAGAAAGTGTCCCAACGTCAGGCCCTTTCTCATACAATTCTTGATTTTTCTTGTGGGCATCTTGTCCTTCTGTGAAGGAATCTTGAGGGATCTGCAATCGGTTTTTTGTTCCTGATAAAACAGGAAACTTTTCTGAGTCACATTTCGCTCTCCAACGGCGGTCAACTCGGTTGGAGCCCGCATCCACCACATGCAATTAGGACTCGTCGAGATGCTGTCGAACGTCGTTTTGTGTGACAGGCCAGGCGCAATACTTTTGCAAGGTTTTCAGAAGATGACTTGCATTTTAGGTGGCAAGCAAAGCACTTTGGAGACCTCCATCGTCATTTTGCGTGGCAGGCGCAGCGCTTGAGACGTTTTGCATTGCGTGCTCTACACTCCACACTGCACACTTTGCACTCCACACTTTACATTCCACACTTTACACTTCACACTATACACTTTACACTCCACACTCTACACGCTACACTCCACGCTCCACACTTCACAGTCCACGCTCCACACTCTACACTTTACACTCCACACTTTACACTCCACACTCTACACTCAACAAAATACACTCCACACTTTGCATTCTACACTTTGCACTTTACACTCTACACTTCACACTCTACACTTTACACTCCACACTTTACACTCCACACTTTACACTTTACACTCCACACTTCACACTTTACACTCCACACTCTGCACTCCACACTCTGCACTTTACACTCCACACTTTACACGCTACACTTTACAGTACACTTTACAGTCCACACTTTACAGTCCACACTTTACACTCCACACTTTACACGCTACACTTTACACTTCACACTCCACACTCTGCACTCCACACTCTGCACTTTACACTCCACACTTTACACTTTACACGCTACACTTTACAGTACACTTTACAGTCCACACTTTACACTCTATACTTTACACTTTACACTCCACACTTTACACTTTGCACTCCACACTCCACACTTTACACTCCACATCCACACTTTACACTCCACACTTTACACTCTACACTCCACATTCACACTTTGCACCCTACACTTTGCACTTTGCACTTTACACTCCACACTCCGCACTCTACACTTTACACTCCACACTTTACACTTTACAACTTACACTCCACACTTTACACTTTACACTCCACACTTCACACTTTACACTCCACACTTTACATTCCACACTCTACACTTTACACTCCACACTTTGCACTCCACCCTCTTCCACATTCCACAGGTAGCAGGGGAAACATATACAAGACTGTTCAAAAAAATGTTTCTTGAAAGCGTTCTATGTGACTGCATTTGGGTTCGTGGGCTGCATCTTGTTCCATGGCACTTTGTGCATTCCAAGTCTATGTGCAGTGCTCCCTATTGTTCCTTGCCTGTCTGAAACTGTGTTCTTCACACAGCATCGGCCCATATCGGCATACATGCATATTTGATTATGCAGTAAAAATCAGTAACTGTCGGTAAGACGTGTTATATAAGTTGTGTATATATATATATTGTATATAATTAAATGCAAGTATAAACACACATATAATTATAATCATATATATATAAACTCAATAAAACACATTCCTGTCTCACAATGTGACACAATCCGATAGCCGAGAGCTACGTAACTTGTGGCTTTGATCAGCTGTAGGCTGGGTATGGCTGGGCCAAATGGATCAGCCGAATGGATCCGAATGGCAACCCAATTTTTCTGGAGTGCCTCATCCAATCTGAACCAAATACTGGATGTGCTGCTAGCAGGGCAGAAGGAGGAAAATCTGACGTCCCTCGCGAAGTGCAAACCAGTTCCACTTCCAAAGGAAAACTGCTGTGACAGCTGATGAATTCGCAAATTCCGTCCGCAGTTTTGCGGAAGTCAAGCGACTGGCGACTGTACTAAAAATACGCCTTCATGCAGGCATGGATACAAAGGCTGTGCCAACACTTCAATTCAACATCCAAGCCTTAAACTGCATAGTTGGACCCATGTCCACAACAAGGTGCAAGGTGCAGAAGTCCAAACGAATTCGGCAGGCAGCTGGCATTCTCGCAAGCGCGTCTTCCGAAATTGCGACCTCTATATCATAAAGCAGTAAAGTGACAGAAAACCAAGAGCCAAGAGCCCAGCACGAACTGGTTCCTGCATGCCCCTATGATATCATTTTTCACATACTAGAAGCCTCTGGCACGCTTTTCACTCCTAGATTTGACTCCTAGGTTTGATGGGTGCAATGTGGTTCAACCATCTCAAAATGTGTTGTCTCAACCAGGGGAACTCAAAATGCGAATGAGTTTGAGGTTTCATGGTGGTTCATGGTCACTGTCCGTGCAGGGTTTTGGTGGAGGCGCCTTATGATCAAAGACTCAGACTGGGACTTTTTCTCTTTGTCCTGGCTGCTTTTTGGTGGTTGGCCCCGGCGGAACACTGTGGCCATTCATCCCAGGATGAGGCAGGGTCAGCACAGTTTCACCTCAACGTGCCGCAGGTTGTGCTGCTTTGAAGTATCCAAACATCTCCCAAAGAATGGCTCTCCTGACCTTTGCGCTGCAACGATTTACATGAAAGCAAAATAAAATTGATAGAAATTGATGGAACACACCGGACAGCACTTGCCATGCTACTTGCCATGCTACTTGCTTGATCATGAGGAAACCCCACCACAGTATCATGGCTTGCCGAGAGGCCATCGCTGAGAACATGGTCTGTTTCGCGCTCATCCTGTCCAGCATAAAGCGCAAAATTCTCGACATACATTTCGTACGTGCTATATAATCTATATGAGGAATATTTTTCAAAAAATGCTATATCAATGTTCTTATGTGTATATATATATATATGAATATATATATATATATACAGAATCCAATCTTAATACATTTTGTTGTACATCATTGTATATTAAATTGTGATATTATAATATATTATAGGTATATATTATAGCAGTATTTCTTTTTGAAATCATTGAAATCAGAGGAACTCTGTTTGTGTTCTTGTGATTTCAATGATTTTCACGGATGCGTGTCGGTGTCCAAACCTTCAAGGGCTGAGAACTCGTTGAGGAGACTGGACCTGAGACACAGCATTCACACATGGTTCGTCCACCAATTCGTCCACCAATTCGTCCATCCGAGTCCCAGACCCAAATGGCCAGCAGCACATTTGGGACTCAATCCGTTTCCCTGAGCGTGACAAAACGGAAGAAACCCGAAGAAATATGAACAGATCTGAAGAGTTATGAAACATGACACGACAAAACCAATGGAACATGCAAAAAAGTCGAACTCTTCGGAAATTCTGCACGTTTGGGCTTGGCTCATGTCACGCGCCATGTTTCTTCCAAGATTGAGAAGAATGTAAAAGAAAATGCCTTGATTTTTGAGTCTGAGAAGTCTCGCGGTGTAATCACGCATCGTTTAACGCAAATATCACGCATCGATCTGAGAAGACTAGATAGACCTGGATAGACTGGGTGCACAGCCGGCGCCTCTTCGCCTCGGTGCCACAGCGATGTATGCGATGTGCCCTTGTCATCTTCGAATCCGATTTTTTTTTGGATCTTTCTAGATCTTTTTGGTACCTCCATGTACCTCCATGTACCTCCACGCCTCCATTCACTTCATCAGCACCAGCTCGTATGAGGCCGCGTAGCCGCAGATTCCTTGGAAGCATTTGGATTTTTTGGAAACGATTTCTCAAATCTGTCGAATCAAGTCCAACCTATGTCCAACTCCAGTATCCACTTGTCCACTGCTGTCATCAAGTCCGGCTCCAAAAAGCAATCGAAAGATATCGAAAGTTAGGTGAGGCAGAAAGGAGCAATGTGGGTAGTAGATGGTAGCATGTAGCAGTGAAGAGAACTATGGATGCACATGGTGAACCACATGGTCAACTTCACACTATCATAGGGATCGGGTGAAGTCTGAAATTCACATTGCCAAATTGCCTGCAAAAAGGAGCACTTCCTGTTTAGTTCGAAAGTGAAACATCATGAGACATGGACCACATGGTCAGCCAACTGATCCCACTGGTCTCCGCAAAAGACACAAGAAGCGCAGCAAGCGCTATTTCGACCATTTGCGACCACTCCAAATCAAAACCCAGGTGCAATGTATGCTCTGCGCGAACCAATGCCGCACTCGTGGCATCTGTGAGGAGTTCTTGTGCCACCTGAGGTCAGTTGAACTCCGTTCCACATTACGTCTGAGTTACAAATGTGCAGGCCGTGCTCCAAGGTGTCCTATGTCCTATGTTCACATTGTTGTCATTGTTCACATTGTTCACGTTTAACAGTACCAAGATGTACCAAGTGATTCAACATCTTGGGCGAGTCGGGCAAGTCGGGCCAAGTCGGGCAAACAGCATCAAGTCGATTCGACTTGCACATCATCGGCCTCCAAGGCTGAGTGGAGCACATCGTCAAGGTGATTCAAGCCTAGCGGCTCGAGCGACTTGAGCGACTTGAGCTCGCAACACGCAACGCTTAAGTTGCGACGACACACAGTTTGTGAAGCCCCGAGTTTTCCAGAAAACCTATGTGTAGCCAATGCATAAAATGTCCTTGTGCATGTGAAAACGATACAACTATACATCTTCATTAATATTGTACATATTGTATGTAACTTGTACATAGTTTTCATGCTTTCACTTCTGACATTGGTCACTACATATCATATACCTCGCGCAGCTCTGAATCCAGCCTGGTGGTTGCGACTCCTCCACCAGCAGCCCCAGCTGCACCAAATTCTCCTGCGCATGTCATGGGGAAATCGGACAATCGCCAAAAAATATCAAAAAACATCTAAAGGCGTTCGAAAATCATCAGCAATCCGACATAAAATGACATAAAACATGTAATTTCATGTAATTTTCATTTTTTTGTAACAAACATCATATAGATATGATTTCATGTATACATTAATATATTAATATGTGTAATTATATCATGTTCCAAGCTAAATCATCCTGTTTGACCGGGAATTCGATGTCCTCCACCCTGGAGGATCGCTTATTCTTGTAGTAGTCGGTGAAGCTATGGAAGTCGATCGATGATAAGCCTAGATGGACCTGGACCGAACAGGTCACACAAAACTTCGCGATCCGTTTCAAGAAATGGTGTGACATGTTGAACAACATCAAAATATATCAAAATAATTCAAAATATATGATTCAAATTATTTCAATCAACTGTAAAACTATGTTGTAAACTACGTGGACAAGCTCGCTAATCCGTGATGGACCGAAGTGCAATCGAGCACATGGTTTTTCAGGTGTGCGAACTGAAAACGGCAAATGGCAATGGACTTCAAAATCTTCAAAGGGATTGATGTTTGAAAGAGGGCCTTTTCCAGATCTTCCGTGGATGCTGAGGAAGTCAAAGACTCACCCGCCTGCATATCCAAGGTGAAGTTGCTGCCACAAAACTCAAGCTAGGCTCAGCTAGGCTCAGCTAGGCTGGCTCAAACAGGATGAGCCTCCACTACAGTGAGTGTAGTGACATAATTACGGACTAAAGTGACTAAGAAATATCACACCCTCAGAACTTCAGAAGATTCTAATATATCTATATATATATATGATATATGTGTAACAAATTTGTAATATATTGTCAAGTTGTAATATTGTATTGCATGGCGCATATGCAAGTGATTTGCGAGTGCCTCGCCTTCTCAAAGGTGTCGAACTGTGAACCTGGGGTTCCAAATGCGTTCCAGTTGAATGGCTAGTGGTAAATCTATCAGAGCGTTCAGATGCGTTCAGTAATGCTTAGTATACGTAGTTTATACTGTATACTTAATGTTTTCCAAAATGCTTCCATGTCTTTCACTACTATTCTTTCACTATTCTCGACATTTCCCGACTCTTGGGTACATAATTTCTTTCAACATATTTCAACTTTCAATATCTTCACCTGCCCAGGGGGTCCATTTCTACACAGCTCCAGGTCGTTCCCTTGCGCCTGTGCCAGCCTTTACGGATTTAGACGTGGCCTTGGAAGCTTCCGTCTCCACATCCTGCAACGGTCTGATGGTCTGAGCATCTTGCACGAACACCTATCTCAACGTATAATCTCAACGTATAATCTCAACCTTTCTCAAACTATCTCAACCTATCTCAAGCTCTCACACCGGATAAATTCAGGAATTTTTAGGAATTCATAACTGATTCAGAACCTTTATCATATCCCAACCTTCGGTGCTGGAGGACTGTCACCGATGTCCGAAATCAAGGATCGCTTGACGCTTTTGTATGGCCTGGCGGATGCCATCGTGCCACTCCCAGAAACATCCAGAAACATCCAGAAACCATTGGAACTCGACGTTGTGGCAACATGATATGCAACATGCGGCCAATTACAGGGCTGGGGGCTGTGGCAGCTTTCGGCCTTGCACTGGCTCTTTCCAATGGCACTCCCAAGCCCAAAGCAATCCTTGTCGACGATCCGTGGGATGATGTGGGATGATAAAACTTGACATTGGGATGGCAGTCTCACTGTACCATCAATCATCATCAATCTCCTGTGGATGGCTGCGATCTATTGATGGTACATGATGGTACCTATTGACCTATTGTCTTACTGCGCGCCAAGGATTGCCGAGAGACCGTTGCAAGTGCCCATTCAGCTGGTCCTGAGGCAATGCAACATATGCAACTGATAGAAGACCCAAATGGAGGCAACGGAGGGCAACGGTAACGGAGGGGTCAACAAATCTCAACGTGGCTCGGGAAATTTCTACCGGCACTATCAACATCATATGACATGAATATCATGAAACACTGTGAAAGTAGACAAAAATGATCAAACATGTAGAACGTACAGTAAAAAATCCAATTAGACAAAAATGAATGTACTAATTAGATCTAATTAGTAGAATTACACTGAGCCACCAAAGCCTCCAACTACTTTCCTCGAAATCCTGAAGTGAGCGCATTCAGCGCATGCAGCGCATTCGTAACGATCAGTAACGCAGTGACATACGGAGTCCAAGGCACAAATCTGTACTGATTCATTTCTTTCATCCTCGGTCCACCCGGCTGATATCGGGGGATAGGCAACATGGGGAACTGACATGAACTGACCACATAGACTCCACATAGACTGTCATGTTGCCTGTCATAGTATTCCTTTGTCATTCGACACCGGGAGATTCAATGGGCACAAAAACCGGATATTTTCCCTCTCAAATTGCACCATTTCCATCCATTTCCGGCATCAAAAAGCTGCATAGTCTCGATATGTCTCGATAGTCTGCAATCTAGTCACTGTTCTTGTTCGTGAAGCGACCGCATCAAATTGTACTTGATGAAGCGCGGAGCTGTCCTCGGCATAGCTTGATGCTTGAACACTACAAGGTGCTGCATTTGCTGGAACCTGTGCAACAATATTACAATGTCACATGTAATTATTCAATGTATTCACACAGTAAGAATGATGTAGTAGATTGTAGTAGCATCATGGTATGTCATGGTCTCACTGGCATATTCATATATACTACTTTCCTGCACGTTGCACAGCGAGAACAAATCTATATAGTGGACCATGCATCAAACACACAACAGTCACATACAGTCACATACAGTCACTGTGACTATAGCCACTTTTCTGTTTCACTACAGTCCCCGCAGTAACTACAGTCGCGTTTGCGACGCAGTACTCCGACAACGACTGCGCCGTCGCTGTGCCGTGCGTCTTTGACTCGTGCACCCATCGACTCAATGGCTGGATGAACTCGTTGCGCTCCACGGTGCCGGAGCCTCGGTGCTAGTTGCTGGTTGCTGTCCTGGCATGGCCTGGCCTGTTGCCAAGATATGCCAAGATGCCATCGGTATCGATCATCTGAAAAAGTTGCTGAAGATCTGCCTGAAAGGACAATAAACATAATAAAATGCGACTTGGTCTGTGATGTGTGGAGCATGATGGAGCATGTGGAGCATCCTGGGGCATTCCTGGAGCAGTAAAAAATAATCGAATATATTATTGAATCTGAATCATCCTTCTCCCTCTTCAATTGATGGCAACTACCAGTACTTTGCTCACCGTCTCTCTAGAGCCATCAGCAAAGCCCCACACAAAGAAGAGTTACGAACAATGAATGTGGATGAACGTGGGTAAATATGATATATAGTGGTGTGTGTTTGTGTGTCTTCTACGGGTTCTCCAAATTTGCTGAGTCATCCCTTGTCCATCATCCTGACACGTCCTGGCTGAAATCTCTTCATTTTGGACCTTATCGATATCCATTACCCGGAGGCGGCTCTGAAACTCAGGGTCCTTGCAGCAGGGTTAGGCCAGATCTTTGTATCACCCGACTGACCACGAAGGAACTGGCTGGATTTTCAAGGTAATTGCGTTGTATGCATTGCCGTGGCAAACAAGAGTCTGGCTAAGTGTAGTCTGCCCCATCAAGTTGGTTGCAATAATGTCTTCATTTCAACTATATTTAATATGTGTTGTCTAGCTGCAACCTACACAAGAATCACCGGGAATCAATGCATCTCTTTTGGCACAACTTCACCCCGTCCTTTCTGGCACCGTCAATCAGTTCGCTCAAAGTCAGCTCGCCGCCTTAACACATCAAATGATCACCGATATGACTGTGATCAGGTCAGACACAACGATTTCGACTGCAACATGCCACTGCTGCAACCAAAACTAACTTTGATACTGCAATCATCTACAATCTAAAATCATGACATGATAAATTGTGATAGTGTCCACAAATGCCGGCATAGGGGGAACCTGCCAGGAAACTGACACCTTGAGAATTATAGATAATTACAATATATGTAATACATCAGGGGTTTTGTAATAATAGTATTAACAATAATACGATCTGATATTACCGGATACCACCCCACACATTCATAATATTCCCTAACAAATGTGGACCATGGTTATTTATTGACTTGGTCTCAAAAAATCGTTCCAAGCAACTGCCATCCTCATCCACGCGGTCGAAGATTTTCCTTTCGTGAAATTTCCCCAGTCAAAAAGGGGAACGTTCAGCGGCCTTAACTCCTTGACAAAAAAATAAATAGATAAATTTTCTTACATAAGAACTACTCAAGGAATAACGGTTTGGGGCGCCACATCCAGGATAAATGTGGATCCATAGTGCCCTGTTGTTTCATGTGCCCAGCAAAGGTAACATACAACTGGACAAAATCAAATTGGCGGCTGTACATGACACATTGGTTCGCTGAATCCAAAAACATAACTGGATTCAAAAATTCTGTAAACCAATTAAACAGTTTTGTTTTTGGCATGTGGGCCTTTGTATGGTTTGCCTGCCTTACACTAACCATGACAGCCGATGGAAAGTAGTTCTGTTGACCACACCTACGCCCTTTTGCCAAACGTAAAACGGCATCGAACCAATGCAAAGATATGCGCCACTTACACAAAAAAAAACTTGCACCGAAACAAAATGCAATCTAGGTTGTGCATGTTTTTTTTTTAAAAAAATGTTTTTACAATTTTTTACCATTCTTTACCCCCGTTTCCGCTTCACAGAATCCAAGAATCTGAAGAAACTTTTTGTCCATCTCGATGTCCGTTTCCATTTCCTGCAAACCGAGCATCAAACCAGGCCGGGCACACACACACACACAAGCACACACACTTTATTTTGGTGCAAACGGGACGCAATATGTGTCACAGGAACCTAACCCAGAAACTAAACCAAATTAAACCGCAGAAAACAACGGTGTGTCAGCCCGATGTGCAGCTGACAAAACAATGGGCCTCTGCCAGGTTCAAGACATCTCGTTCTCTGACTTCTGCGAATGTGTCTAAAACCACGGCCACTATTAGGTTCAACACCTTGGCAAATCACCGAGTTAAACAGGTGAACACAGCAAACATTTTTAGCGTTCAAAATCACATCCATGCTGCACAAAAAAAAATTATTGGGAAACAAACAAAGCATCATGATAAATTTGCCAGCCACAAAAGGTGGCGGGGCCATGCCGGCCATAGTTGCAATGATAACACTATCATCATCATCATCATCGTCATCATCAGCATCACCAAAGCAACCGTGTAATGTTTGCAATGGCATCTGCCGGTGTAATTGAAACAACTGCTGCTGCTGCTGCTGATGATGATGATGATGATGGCGATGGTGATGATGATGATGATGATGATGATGATGATGATGTTGATGTTGTTCTATAATGTTCTATGTTGTTCTATGTTGTTCTATATTGTTCTATGTTGTTGTTCTATGTTGGTCTATGCCTTCTATGTCGTTCCATGTCGTTCTATATATATTGTTCTACGTTGCTCTACTACGTCGTTCTATGTTGTTCTATGTTCTTGCTGCTCTTATCGTCGTGGTTGTCGTGGCTACTTTTACGACGACTGCTACTTCCAGACAACTTCTACTTTTGTTACGACAACGGCGACGACGACGTTGGCGGCGACTGCTCCAGCTCCTACTGCTCCTCTGACGCAAATACCCTTACCCCGACGACAACGACGACGGCCACGACCAGGACCTCTCTAGCTACTTCAACTACGTTGAGCTTGTTTGAATCACATGAGAAACGACTTCACCGACCACTACCTTAGCTACCTTACCTACCTCAGCGATTTTAAGCAGCTTAACGATCTTCACTTCTACTACTTCTTTTTCTACTTCTTTTTCTACTTCAGGCACTACTTCTTCTACTGCTTCCTCTACTCTTACCCTACCGTTGATAATATCAGTCATATAATATATCAAAAACACCAACATTCAAATTACTAGCAAGACTAATGCCCATGCACACTATTACTTTTACCACCATGTCATGGTGCCGTCTGAGGTGTGCGGTCCTGTCTGGTGACGCGTAGTAATGGCATCGGCTGCCTGCTTATGTCTGATGCTGCATACGTCACGGGCCGGAAACGTATTGGACATCCGGTCCTGTCTGGTGCTTCAAGCACTGCATCAGCTGGGCCAAGTTAGGAAACGTTCTGGCAGACTTCCGGGTGGGCGGGCTCCGGGGTCACGACGCCCAAACGTTGCTTCTTGCTTTCCAAGATAAGATAGCTGATAGCTCTTCTCCTTGAGTAGGTTGCGCAGGGCAAAGCTCGACCCGAGCGCAGGTTTGTGGAACACATGCGCAAAGCCATACAACTCATCAAAGGGAAGGACCAGGATCGACTTCCCAGAGTTGGTGGGCGAAGATGAACAGAGCCAGGTGTTCGCTTGGCCGACGGTGAATAAGCTCTTCCGCTTTTGCACTGGTGGCATCAAGTTTTCCGAGTCCTACGCGCCGATCCCTCAACGACTTGGAGAAGCTCGAGTCATGTTGGGCCGCTACACCATCGACGCCAACAAGGTTGTTCCCATCCTCATCAGCATGAAGACCCTGGAGAAGTTGGGAGCCATCATCGATGTGCAAGGGCAACGCATGGTCCTGGCCAATGTGGCACCAGACTTCAAGATCCCCTTGGGAAAGAGCCATGCGGGACATTTGCTGGTGGATTTGACTTCTGACTGGCTTCGTGCCGGTCAACATTTGAAGACTCAATTTGCTGGAGTCTACAGAGCGCGAGCTGCTGAAGCCGGTCGAAGTGTTAAAATGGATGAGCCAGCTGAGACAGTTTGTATGTCCACAGGATTCCACAGGCATTGATGGCTGAAGCTGTGGATGATCCAGCAGATGAACAACATGAGGCATCAGGTGAAGAAGGTGAGACTGAGCAACCCGCTGTGTTCATGCTTGACCCACGTGACCACTCACGGCAACCTTTGGTTCAAGCAGATCAGACGGTGCGCGACGGCATCATCCAGTCTTTGATCACCTCAGCCTCCTCCCATCTGCCGCTTTGCTGACCCACCCATGGTGCCCAAGAAGATGACCCAGGAGAAAGTGGTGCCACCAAAGGAGAGGTTCGACTTCGAGAGGATGGAGCTGATGAATCCGAACGATCCTCGAGCGGTAGGACCTCCCTGCCACGGCGAACACGAAGTCGCTCCTCCAGGAAGGGGGTCGGTGACGGGAGCAAACAAGCATGCGATGTGGGAAGGATGTCTCCTGACGAGGAAGGCTCGACCGCTGGGCGGTGACGTGGCCAAGCAGTTGGAGGAGAAGAAGCCCTCAGCGGGCAGCATGGACCTGCAGAACAAGCCTGGACGCGGCCAAGAGATCTTTGCAAGATCGCCTGAACAACATCCAGAAGCAGAAGGAGGATTGGGTCGCCATGCAGAAGAAGGACCTCTACGCCAAGAAAACTCAAGGGGAGGCCGTCCCCGCTGGTGGATACCAGAAAGGCCAATTGGGCCAAGGCATGCTTCTCAGGTTGGTGGCAATGTGGAGGACCACATGGTGAGCCAGACACCAGGCCGCAAGGTCATTTGCAAAGCAGAGATGACCAAAAAAGCAGGAGTTCCAGACAAAGCAGGAGTTCCTGAAGAAGGAGGAGGAAGAAGATTGGCAGAAGGCGAGCCATGATTGAGCAAGATGGTGACCTGGAAAGCGAGACGCAAGCCCAGGAAGTTTCACACCAGAAGAGCCCTATTGCAAGTGTGGCGCCCAGAATTTTCATTGTGGCTGACGGTCTGAAGCCAGCCTCTTCAGCTGTGCGGGACCATACCTGGGTTTTCAAAAGGTTCTGCGAGCCATGTTTGCAGGGCCGGAAGGTCTGCCATGCCTGCAGTCATCCATGTAACACATGGAAAAACATTGGTGCGGGAATTATTCCCGGATTTTCCTTCGTGGACTTGCCAGCACCACCGTAAGTGCCAGTGGCCCCCAGCACTTGATTTCCACAGGTGAACCACCTAACCTGATGTTTCCACATGTCTCCCAAAGCTCCAGTCACCGCAGTAGGAAGGCCAAGACGAAGAGATAAAGCAAGAATCCAGCCAACTGAATCAAAACATTTTTGAAAGTCAAGCCAGATTGCCGTAGAAAAGCTTTCTTGAGCAGCATGTTGGTGTCGAAGGGCCGTCAGTCCTTCCAAAGCTTCCAGAGAGCCAACAATTTCGGTTGCGCCCAGGTCCAGCACACCATAGCCAGTTGTGTCCATGATTCTCGATGAAGCTCCTGCCACCATGCCCACAAAAGCCAAAGAGCTCGGTGTCACAGCTTCAACCCAAAAGGTGCCCTTCTGGGTGCCTTTGTTCTGATGGTGGTAAATTGTTGTTGCTCCGCTTTGGGCAGTTGCGGAAACCATGGCCTCGATCACCACAAACGAAGCAGCCCACATTGGCGTTGGCCGCCATCACATCGCTCTGAGCAACACAGGTTGGAGTAGACGCCGACATGGATGTAGAGGAACTGGATGATGTAGTACCAAAACCTTTCCCATTCTTGCCTTTCCCTTTTCCTTTAGTCTTTCGACGGGGTAGAAGCCTCGGCTCTTCCCTTTGGCTCGTTGGAGTTGACGACTTTGCGAGAAGGTTCGTGCCTTTGTCCCATAAGCCGCAATAGCCTCATCCAGCTCTTTGTACTCCTCAGGTGAAAGTTTTTTTTCCAAAGAGCATCTTCCGTAGACCAGTAGGTACCATAGCCGTCGGTCTCCAGCCAGCACCCTTGACCGTCAGGAACAAAGCCATGCCACCCATCATGGTCGTAGTGCCAGTAGATCTCCTCATTCTCGCCAGTTCCATAGCCATCAGAAGGATCGTGTCCATATACTTCAGGACGTAGACGGTCTCCAACCCATAGGATGTCCATGCCATCGTCGAAGCTCTCATCAGGAAAGTTCACAAGCCCCATGGACCTTGCTCCTCCACCCAGTAGGTGCGCTTCTTCCCATGGGGATGTCGTTGTTGGTCAGCTTGAAGGAGTTCTCCTTCTTGATCTCGAAGAGCCATCTCGATATCCCTGCAGCTTCTGAAAGCTTGCCTGCAGCGACAACCTTGACGGTGCAGACAGATTGGCCCTTCTCAACAACAGCCATCCAAGGATCTCATCCGGTAACACCTTGAGCTCCTCAACCTCCAATTCATCCAAGGTAGATCTTCTCCAAAGGACGGCGAATCGTCATCCCAAGCTTTGCGTCGTTCCTTGTGCCATTCCATTCGGGTTGTTCTTCTTCTGGATCATCTTGAAGGACAGGCATATAGCCTTCTGCCTGGGTTCCACCAGCATCTGGAGAACGGTCAGGAGCCGCTCTGGATCTCTCTGGTCTCCCAGTTGGTGATCTTGTTGGATTGGCAGCTCAGCCTGAGGTTCAGACTGAGCACTGACACTCTCTACCTTCTTCTTGTCCTTCTTTGGTGAACGCTCTCGTTGCTGTTGTTGCGCCCGCGTCAAAGCGCGTTGAACTTTCCGGTAGGTCTCCATGACCTCATTGCTCCACTGGCTCATGGTCATCCCCAGTGGTTTAAATCTTACAACCTGGCTCCTGCGTCTGGCACTGCTGTTTGGCAAAGGCGATCACGTAGTACACGGAGTAAATGCTTGGCGCCATTCTTCTTGGCTAGCAATCGGTGGTTCAGATCTGCAGTGACACCCCGTGCTCGTCCTGTAAGGCGACTTGCAAGGTCTGGTCCAAGGTGTCGCCTCTTGTGAGGCTGGGTTTTCTCCCACTGCAGTCTGACTTTCCGAAATTGCCAGGCCAGGCTGCGGGATCTCCATCCCAAGTGACCACCACTTCCTTGGCAGTGATCGTCATAGCCATGGCCGTAGGTCTCGACAGTCTCCAAGCCAAAGGTTTCCTCAGGAAAGTAGTTGCTGATAGAGCAAGCCAAAGACCGGGCCAAAGGCCACGAGCGCCAAGCAGCCACCACCAGCAGCCCAAGTAGGGCTCCAAACGGAAGTCCTCGATCAGCTAGAGGTAGAAAGTCTCGGCAGTGATGTAGCAAGGCCTAGGAGATGGGAGACCGCCAGAGCTCCACTACCAATGTCGGTAGCCCCTTGGTTTCTGCTAGCAAAGGCTGGTAGTTGTTGCACTTCTTGATTTGTGCTGCCCCTGGCACAGGCCTGTAGCAGGCTGTCAGCGCCACCTATGACACTTCAAAGTCACGCTGGATGAAAAGCTTGGCTAAAGGGTTCCCTATGGAGCCGATAGGATACCCAAAAGTATTGTACATGCTATGATACTGGGAAGCTGACCAATCACCACATGAAGCTGAGAATTTCGAAGCTGAAGATCTGACACCAAGTGCCAGAAAAAAACTGAAATATTTCCCAAGAGATGCAATGTAAAATGTAAACCCTTTTTTTTTGATCACTATAATTAATAGCGATCTGTTTCGAAACCATTCCCGACAACCGCGGAACCCGTGAGATGTAGTTGGTTTGCTTGGCCAGGTGCGATGATAAAGAAGCGAAACCTCTAGAACCTGTAGGTTAGCAATACGGGAAGCCCAACAACTAGTTCAACCGCAAATAAATAAATAAATATATATATATATAGTGATGTATACAGATATTATAGATATATAAGTTTAGATACGAAATGATACGAATATAGAATGACATACACAGTTGAGAAGACTTTGCACCCACAACCAAGCATTTGCTCCGTGGCTGCTGGCCTCCTGCGTTGTGTTTAACCCAAAATGAAACCAAAGAGTACGAGTCCGGTACCACCCACCCACCCACACACACACACCAAGCTCTCTAAGAAACCTTTCAGGCTTGCATAGGATGTGCAACCTTTCTAGCACCTTGTGCACCCATGCAAATCATCTCAACTCCTTCCCCTTCCAGCATACAATGGACCACGTACTTTCCCGAATTGAAGTCACAAGATAAGGGGCAAAACATGGCAAAACCTTGCTACACCGCAGGCACAATCAAAAAAACACCACAACTGTTGCGCCAGGATATTTCTTGAAACCACCCCACCTTCCAGCTGGCGGTGCAATTTTCAGGCACCAGATTTCAAGAGATATCACAACAACGCAATGATATAACATAAACACACCCTGGGGGACAATTGTAAATCAAGACTCCCTGGTTTTTGCTGACCAAGTTGCTCCGAAGACAAGAGTCAGCAAAGATCCCACAAATATCACAGCGGTGGCGGGATAGGCCTCCAAACATCGTATCACATCAAGCAGCGTCACACATGCTTGAATTTCTCCATTTGGCTTGCATTGAAGATGGACGTTGCCACATATTGCCATGTGCTTTTGATGCAATCTTCACGTCAAAGATGAAGATCCGGATGCAACCAGAACATTTGATTGCTTTGAGTTAAGCCCACAGAACACAAACAATGCGACCCGACAGTTAGTTTCAGTCTGGGTAGCCTCAATGACAGGCACGGCAATCGTGCCCCACCCATCACCTGCAATGACTGTCCTTAGCTAGGCACATTTGCATCTGAAGCCGGACAGGGTGGCTGTGGTTGTCGCAACCGGCCCGCACCGCACTATACCGAGATGCTTGAACAGCAGCAGGTTGGCATCCATCACCTTAAAGCTTGCTGGCGGAGCCGTGATAAGCTGTGACTTTGCCTTCAAAAAATACCATCGGTACCAATCTGTTCCTGTGAAGCTTGGCTCTTGAAACCATGACCACCCCCCTTAGCTTCCCACAGAAGAGGCAGCGCGTAGGCACTGTTCCTCAAAAGCCGGCAACATACAAGTACGTGGCATGTTCGAAAGTTGTACGCAACCTCTCCCAACCAACAGCTTCGCCACAGTAGCCTCGTCATTCCTACTTCTCTATCTGTGAATTTAACATAATTTAACCACTGCTTCATCATTGATGAATCATGAGGTATGATTTCCAGATTGGGAAGGGCTTCACTCATCTTCACTCTGTTTGCATTTGCGTTCTTTTATGTTCTTTTACACATTACTTTCATGTGTTTACACAGCCAAGCTTCGCAATCTCCAAAAATTCCCCTGTCTTCGTGCAGTTTGAGGATCAACCTTGGTGCCGGCACACTAACTGCTGCTTTTTGCGGATCTCGGCACTCCAGGGTCGCTACGGTTGAACGAGGTCAACCAACAACATGGCCCAAATGGTCCTTAGTCCCACGACTTCCCACCTTCAATCGACAAAAGATGACAAAAGCACATATGAATCATATGAGCAAATATCAGGTATGAGTCGGTATGAGAGACATCGCGCATCATCGCGCAGCACTCTGCTCTGCGGAGCTTTTCACATTTCACATGTTTTCGATTGTTTTGGCATGTTTGGGCCATGGCCAGGCGAGGCCAAGTGATGCCAAGCATCATAACCACAAAGCAAAAAATGAACGACCAGCACAGCGTTCCTTGGGCCGACTCAGGTGGCGAAGTGGCATAAAGGTTGGCAAGTTGTTGCAACATGGAGTCAGAATCATCGCCCAGCCCAGTCAGGCAGACATATTCAAACGACTACATTCAAGTATACTGTAGTTTGAGTAATTTGAATGGAACTATATATTCTATATATTTCAATATTCTATTGTAGTGTGCATTCTAGGTGTGCAAATAGTTGTAGCAATGCTGTGGTATACATGGTATACTCCGTAACTCGGCGAACAGAGCCATGTGCTGCCATGATGCTCATGCATGTTGTAGCCATGGTCAGAAGCTTCCGAAGCCTTGGGGAGTGACACGATGTGACACGATGTGAAAAAGGCCGACATCCGCAGACCCGGCAGACCGTCAGTGCCAATGCAAAGAGTTGATGTTATGGTCAGGATCGTGAGGACAATGAAGAAACAAATTGATAATAGTTCATTAATGTTCATTATAATTAATTGATGCACATTGTATATTTGGAACAAAGCGCACAACTGTCACAACTGTTGAAGAGCTGCAAAGATCACTTTTCTTCTTGAGCAATGCTTGTGGAATGTGCCAAAGTCGGCCATTGCTGCTAGGCAGCTCCAGCCAACGCCTTTACTGCTCTTGATAAAGTTTTTGAGACGTCGGAGATGGATGGAGATGGATGAAGATGGAGTGATATGAAGTGATATGAAGTGCTATGAGGTGATGGTGACCCACAGAGAACGGTGAGATAGCATCAAATGGTGTAGAGACTCATAGGGACTCAAGGCATCACAGATTTCTTTTCACAACTATTCGTCATCTATTCGTCTATTCGTCATCTATTCGATCTATTTCACATCGATCAAAAGAATGGCCAGGTCTTTCCAGTGATGGCCGCCTGCGTGACAATGCCACTGAAGGCGAACATGGCCAGCCGTCCATTCTCCAGCTCTTTGAGGCGCATGTCCTTCTCCTTTTCAGGTTCTTTTGGCAGAAATTGTTTGCCCAAGAAGAAGTCTCCAGCATCGCGGTTCACCTCCTGCTCCCATCCCTTGAACAAAAGCCACAAGGAGTAGAGCTCAAAGGTACCAATGGCACCCAGGAAAGGCAACATGTATCCAGCTTCCACCATCTTGTCGTGAGCCTCGAAGCTGTTGGCAACGGCTTGGAACTTGTCGCCCGGGAAGCGGAAGCCCAGATCTCCTGCGACATCCACATCCGGTAACACAAAGAAACACAAAAGCATCTTAAAAGCCACTGTTTGGGAGAAGGACCACGCTGTCCACACATGACCACACCCAGTACCCAGGAGAATCAGGAGAGCGAAGAAACATGAGAAAAGATGGGAAAAGCATATTAAGATATATAAAGCGAATTTAAGCAGCAACAAGAACGACAACAATAACCCACCAAGCACAAAACAATACGCACCAACTGGCACAAGAAGACATCACTAATCATCACAAAACGATACTAAACAACCAAAAACAGCACAGAACACACATTGCTTGTGCCAGCTCATGCCAGCTCCCAGCTCCATCCAGCTCCCACATCCAGAATTCAGAATGTCAAGGTCCTGAAATCCAGCCCACCGTCGCGAGCATACAAATTCGGCCGTGCTTCAATTCTGCTTCACGCACCCAGTAGACTGGCAAGGCATCGGTGACTCCCAAAGGATCGAAGCCCTTCTCGCCGCCAACCCAGCCCTTCAGCACTTGTGGGTAACCTCAGCGGTGCGGTCAAAGGAGTCCTGGCATGTCCTGGGACGTCATCTGATGTGGATACATGAGTGATTATGAGTAGATGAGTAGAGTAGTTATGAGTGACATCGATCCTTTCTTCCATGTCTTTTCCATTGACTGAACACGCTTTTTAATGTTTCTTGTCGATTCTTATCTTTATCGTTTCGTTGTTTGTATCAGGTGACGTGTGGAGTTTTGCGATGTATTTCTGATTGCCGCCAAATGCTGCCAAATGCTGCCAGGTGGCGCAGGAATGGCACGGCGGCCGACATTTCCATCTCCTTGGGGTAGGTCTCAGTCTCCACGTATGGCCCTTCGCTGAGCTTCTGCACAGCACGGAGCTGGGTGCGGCCGGTGCGGCGTGGCAAGGCACAAATGCTGCCGTTTTGGATGGGAGAACCATCGAAGGATTGGCAGTTGTTGATGTGCTGCACGAAGAACTGAACTGGCTCACCCCACCATCCATTCTTTGACCTGGCAAAAGGATCAAAATCGGGAGCACTTATGACAGCGAATCTGCAGTGAAACTCTGAAATGGACATATATTAATCACACACGCGCATGTATATAAAATGAGATCAGAAGCCCCTCTATGTCAAAATTATGTCTGGAACTGTCACCCCTTTGACACGACATGACCCGTCATGTTTCATGTCTTGAAACATTTGAAACATCTTCCAGCTTGAGCAAATTTGAGCGACATGTAGGTCAAAGGAGGCTCTCCGAACATGCCATCTTGCACCATGAGGCCCATGATGGCGATCATCGCCAAACGGCCATTGTTGCGCTCGGAGGTTTGCTTTCGCTCCAGCTCCTCATCATCAATGCCATCCAACAACTCAGTGCCCAGTCCGAAATCTGAGGGGCCCATGCCACCCTCGCGAGGCTTCACCAGGACCTCATGAGCGCCCACCAGCGCAACCAACTGCACCCAGCCCTCCAAAGGAATGGACTCCAAAGCACCCAGGCCGTGACTGAAGGCCTCGCACCCTGGGAAGCGGAAGAGTTCTGGCATAATATATCCCATGACAGCGATCATGGCTACACGGCCGTGCTTGATCTCAACTTGGGTGTAGCGATCCATCTTGGCATCAGTGCTTCCCAGCCCCAGTGGGTCAAACTTCTCTGTGAGTGGCAGGCAAACACCCACAACCTGTCTTGCGACTGACGAGGACTTGCGGCGGTTCATAGCAACACCCAGGGCTGAGACCGCCACAGCAGTGCCTGCCATCCCCAGGAGGTTGGCCGACTGCGACTGTGGGGCCCGGTGCACGGAGGCACGTAGGGACACAGTTTGGACATCGGCGGCAGGTCCGTTAGGTGCCACAAATGCCATGCAGCCACTCGCGGAGAGGGCCAAAGTTGTAGCCGTCATTCGGGACATGGTGAGTCGTGACTGAAGGACTGCAGGTGGAACCAAATGCACCTCTTGAGCTGCTGGCAGCTACAGGGTGCACATGATGGCACCGTGGTGACCTTCATGCACTGCTTTTGAATTGGTGGGATCTGTTGCCGCGCACCTGCACCCGCTGCCTTTATTTAGGCTTTGAATCAATTTTGAAACTTCCTTGCAATTGTTGGTTGGGTCATTTTGAAACTTGTGGTTCTGCACTTATGCATCACTTCTGCCCTCCGACAAAGCTGTCAAAGCTGTCAACTCGGCCAGTGCCAACAAGGAACTCCTTGAGGTAACTGAAACGACGGAAGAGCTTCAGCAGCCCTGTGTCGAGGGGAGAAAATCGATCTGCCATGAAGGGCCCGGGGCTGGGGAATGTTTTACAATCTCCAAGGGTTCCAAATGAAGAAAAGAATGAAGCCAAAGTGTGGCAACCCTGCTTCAACTGGGCCCCACCAGTTCCAATATCTAATGGCATCTAATGATGATAATGATGATAATGGCATATAATGGCTGCATCTTCTTCAAATCCGCAAGTAAAAGGATCATATGTGGCTTTGCCTGGCTCGACATTGCTGCCCGGGAACGGATGATGCGGGCTACACGGAACATGCGCAGGAGATTGAAGTTGTCCAAAAAGCGAGTCATGGTCTCTGACAATACCCACTCGGCCTCAAGGGGCACGGCCCGGGCATGGCATTCATAGCGACATGGACCGCTGTGAGCAGTTCTGCTTGCGCAGCCCATCCCCCATCAATCCCCATACCAAACGATCCAAATATGTATAAATATGTTACCTGTGCTGTTTGCCTAAGCTTTTTCCATCTACAATATTTCCATGGCATTTTCATTGCCATACTTTTCCATCTCACCACTTGCGGCTGAGGAGCAAAGCCGCAAAGGATGATGAAGAGGTCCACCCTCAGAACGAGTTCTGTCAATGCAAGGCATGCGTTGCTCTCCAGCAACGTTGCAACTTGACGGTGATGTTCACATAACATGCCACAGCTGCTACTGCTGCTACAGCAGGGCCCATTGAATGGACAACGACAAATGACATACAAATGACATACTATTCGTATCCTCTCTAATCTTTCTATCGGATTCTATCCTGTTCTGAAATCGTTTGCGCTCTCCGTAGCGGCGTAGCGCAAAATGCTCAGCCAAGTTGCACGAGCATCTTGTCTCGGAAGACTCCAAATCTGCGGACAAAGCACCACATCACATACTCCAAAGTATACCTTGGCGAAATTTGGCAAAGTTCCATGGAAGTGTTCGGAAGTGTTCCACTAAGTCCCACTGGCCCCTTCAAAATACAAGTCGACATAAGTCACATCAGTCACATGCCAAGAAGCGCAACCAAACATATGTCCTTAGCGTCGAAAGAAAATCACAAGCGCTCTGGGCCCCACATACTCTCGAAGAGACTGTGCACCCCTGACCGCATAGGCAATGCATACAGGATATTACAGGATCATGTCGTGCCCAATACTTGTCCCCCATTTCTTGACATGCCATGACATGCCCCATGTGTCTTTGTCGGCCCGGGTCAAAATGCACTCGGCTCTCGGCCCAGGCACCATGGAAATCGCGAGCCAGGCCGGTTCTGGCAGATTGGCAGCCCGTCGATCAATGTCTGCGCAGCTAAGATATGCGTCGAACCTGGCGCATGGATGCGCATGGCGTTTCAACTTGGTTTCAACACGTGTTCAAGTTTGACCAACATGTTTTCAACCCTTTGAAATGTGGTTGATTGACATATATGAACCTGTTCCAAAATCAATTGAAACATGTTGAAACTCAGCAAAAGGCCACGATGCAACGCAGCACATGCCAAAGCTACAAAGTGAGCAACCCCAGGCAGTTGCCAGTGATCGGATGCCATAAGATTTTGCTCACAATGCGCCTGAACCTCAGACAAACAACGTTATACAAACCACAAAACAAACGATACAAACTTCAAACCACCAGGTAAAAAATATATATATAAAGGTTACTGTGGGATACATAATTCAAACATGTTCAAACAACTACAGTTACAAATGAATGAACATCCGGGTCCCATGATCTCACAATATAAAGATCTGCCGAGCTTCGTGCTCTCTTCGGCACTGAACTCTTGTACCGTGGTCGCCTTTGTGATGAACTCCGATTTTAAGGAAATCGGCGACACGATTCCTGAGACCGGTGCGATTTCATGCTATTTTTCTTACTGCATTCTTCTGCTGTTGATATAAGTGTTCGAACTGGAGCTTCAACATAGATAACTCCCTGGAACTGGTAAGTTGCTTGTCATTTAAGTATCATTTCAGCCAGTGACGGTTTTCTTGTCACTTTGTGATCTTTGTGGGCAAAAAGATGGCAAAAGCTGAAACTGTATGATTTGGGACAACAAACATTGCACCAATACTCGACATGAAAATTCTACATGAAGTGGCTGTCGCGTGAATGGCCGTAGGATATCCAAGGATTCCTATTCCTGAAATGGTGATCTGTCAAGTGACGACGGTCGCAATTCTTAAGAAACCAAATAAGAAATCTCGGATGTTATCGAATGACTCGATTGTTGCTTGCACCATCTCTTTGTCTTCGACTTCCATGAATATGATTTCCAATGTCACCTGCAGCTAGGCCATCTTAGGCCATCCTTTATGGAATCTGGCCAAGCGTCGTTTGGATGGCATACCTTCGCACTTTGGATGCAAAACAGAGGACAAGTACTCGAGAGGACAGGTGGGCTTCAAATGCCATCAATTGAGCACACAACCAAGGAAGATCAATGAAGAATCTACAAGGTTGTAGAAAAGGCATAGAAATGTTGAGAGACCAAACCATGGGAAACGGAAAAACCACTGTTATGTCTTGCAAAAAAATCAAAAAGGCAGATGAAACCTCACAGCAAAACCTCACCATGGCAGCACACAGCTATCACATGCTACCAATCTGTCCGATTCTGTCCGCAAGCGGCCGCAAGCGTATTCAGATTATTCAGTCAAATTGCGACTTTCCATTTCCTCGGCAGAGCGTGGCGCAAGTTGAGCAAACCATGGGAGTTTCTCAAACCGAGTGACCTTAAGCGGAGTGAAATTCGAGAAAGACATAGAAAGACCATGTCAAATTTTGTCAATATGTCAGGGCAACCGAGGGCAACCGAGGGTATTCATCTGTGTTCCAAGATGTTCAAAGATCGAACAGCAAGCTGAAGCCATGCGTCGTCGGTGTTGTATTCGTCATCGCCTGAGACGGTGCTGGTAGGAGCCATGGAGGGACGGAGGGACGGAGGGGCCCCGGGATGCAACGGGACGGTCTAGGCGTATCATGGCGTATCCTACCTCTGCCGTTGCGGCATTCCTGACCTCGCTCCAAATAGCTCTAACATTGTAACAATTTGTAACAATTTGTAACAATTTGTAACCTATTGTAGCATGCACCCAATACTTTTTGATACTTTTCTCATCTTTTCTCCTGTTTCTCAGTCTTTTCGTTTGGGAGCCAAGCTCCATACATTTCTTGTACGAAATGCGATCGGTTGATGATTTTCCCCTCAGGTCCCATGTTCAGCTTTGCTGGCACGGGATGGATTGGATGCTGAGCAACCGGAGGCCTACAGTGCTACAGCGGTCCGAGGCCCCGGTTCTGTACATTTGCCAATTGGATCCAATTGGATGCCACTGGCAGATGGAAATCGTGGAGAACGAGGTCCGTCCCAACTGCCAGCAATCTATACAAAACGATACAAAACGCAGCGAGCTTTCAAGACCCTTCCTTCGATTTCCTTCGTAGTTTCGAGCGTTGTCCAACCAACATGGACCCATACCGAAGATTTGTGGATGGACACCGATGCACACCCACCTTGTTTAGCACTGATCTTCGAAGAGGTTCCTTTGAGAGGAAGGGTCTCAAGCCATAGCTGGAAGATCTTGAATTCTGCTTCACCCCTCACAGTTTGGGACATGAAATCCCACCATGCCACATTTCGCCGCACTACCACGCTATGTCACGATGCCTCAGTACTCTTTTCCGTGGCCTTCAGTTTTTGCGTTTTTTCCCGTCCTTCCTCTACTTTCTTGGTTTCCCATGTTTCCAACTTGGTTTTCCGACTTGTGAGGTCCTTCCAACAGCCCGGCCACTGCCAAGGCCTTGGAAATCCTCAAGGCACCTCTGGCAGCCCCGGCCATGTTCACTGCATCAGGGCCCAGCTCCAAGGCAGCCAAGTTGCCCATCAAATGCACCGGAAGTCTGCCCCACTGCAGGCTTTCACTTAAAACCGGCAAACCTCCATGCAGCTTCAACGGATGGATCTCCTGCAAAGTGCCAAGGAGTGGATCACTGGCAACATCCACCAAAGCACCAGTGGCACAAATCAGGTAATCTGCTTCAAGAACTTCATTAGTGTTCAGTGCCACTGTCCAAGAACTTGTGGATGGATCAAAGGATGCACTCACCACTTCTGTCCATTCATGAAGGTGGACTTGACCCTTAGTTTCCAGGTCCGAGATCACTGCATCGAGTTCGGGTGTGATTGATCCACCATCGCGAACCTCCTTCTGGATGGCCATCCGTTTTTCCAGGGGAGAGGACTCGTATTCTCGGCGACAGTCCCGTCGCCCGGTGCCCATCCAATGTAGCCCCAGGTCGTATTGCTTCACTCGGCGATCCCTCCGAAGCAGCAAATCGACCCGACCACGTGGAGCCAGCTGTGCGCACAAATGGGCAGAAGTGAGTCCTCCACCCACAATGAGACCTCTGCCATGAAGTGACTTCATCTCTGCAGGTGTATCAAAAAGATCCCAGGCATGATAGATTGCAGCAACAGCTGCTGTATCCAAGTTGTAGTAGAAGCCCGGCCACTGCCGCCGCCAGGTGGGACCCCTGGCAACCACGACGCGTTTCGCATGGATGTCCTGACTGCGTCCACTTGCAGTCTTGACGGTCACACACATGCCCGAACCACTAGGTCTCATTGACTCCGCCCGAGCATGCCACAAATGATCATCCAGCCGTCCCAATTTCACCAGACTCTTGCAGAAATCAAGCATCATCTGACTAGAGGGCAACACGAAAGGGCCGTGGTATGACTGCTTCTTTGGCAAATTCTCCAAAAAAAGGAAATCATTGCGTTTGTTTGCATGTGCCCACACCGACAGCGTTGAATGGTCAAAGGCATCTGGGTGCATCATTTCATGCGATCGCAAATGGGAAATCTCTAAGGCTTTGAACTGGTTCCGCCATCTCTCCATCCATTTTCCATTCTCATCAACGACCGCGAAACGGTCCATCGATTTGCGGAGCTTTTTCAGATGACTTCGCACATCTTTGGGTCTGCGAACATAGCTTTCCTGTGGCGGGATCACATCTGCCATAGCTTCAGGGCCCAACATCAGCCTAGAGGCCATAGCTAAAGCCTGCGGCCCAGCACCCACAATCCTTGGCAATCTGACATTTCTGACACAAATTGACAGAAATGATAAAATATGAACAAACAAAGCTCACTGAAAGAATGAAAGAACCATAATGATGCATAATGAATCTACTAACTATGAAAGTCAATTCAAGCAAGGGTCAGCACATCCACAGCTGGAGGCAAAGATGTTTGCTTTTGCATATTGCCTTCCTGCTGTTTGAATCCAGCGCGTCCTTAGTTGGAATATATCTCATCAATAAAAAAACACAACAACCCGTCGAAAGCGCAACCTGCCAAAACAACAGTCAGCGTGATACATGTTTGATACACATAGGGTCAACAAAGACAGAAACGATAAATACCGCACACATGCACATGATATTTTACTATATATATATAGATATACACATTGTATCTTTGTATCTATTTAATCTCTATTTATTATATAGCTGGCCTTTGTGTACTCTTCAACACCCTGCAAACAACTGTGAGTTGGCAACTGCAAACAACTTGGCATAATAGGACCACCTTTCAACTGGGTGTTGAATCACCTTGAATCACCACCCTCTTAATGAGGCAAAGCTCGGGTGTGCTTCAAAGGAAGCTGGATTTGTGGCAAATGGTGAGCATCAAAGCCCCTAAATCTGAGCCAAACAGCGACCGCGTTCAAACAATATGTGTTGTCAGGTGCAGCCGAAGTAAATCCGGCAGAAAACGACAAGAATCCGCCGGCCTGCCGGCGTGTCTTGTGGATCTTGCTTGTTCGTAGTCGTACTGTTTGTTTAGTCTTTTGTCTTTGTCTAGACTTTCCCTTGGCGCGGATTTTTGCCCCGTCTAACTTGAACCCACCCCGCCCTCCCCCAATTTCAACCCAAACCCCGCTTACGCAACACAATCTTTTCTGTCTTCTCTTCGTATTTTTCCTCTGTGTCTTTCGTTGCAATGTGCTGGGTTCGTCTCTGCCCCCGCCTTGCACACCGTGCGCGTGTTCTTGTTTGCTCCACTGCGTCCTGCGCTTCACGTTCTTGGTTGGCTAGCTGGCTTGCTGTTGTCTAAGCTTTCTTCTGCCGCCGTTGCTTCGCCATGAATGTGCTACAAGGGCTTTCTAGGGCTGACGCCCCGTCTACACAACAGCCTTGGTTTAGCCAAAAGCTTTGCTGCACTCAAACCCACTCCTGTACAGACCAACCCTGTCTTACACAAGTGCCCTGCCCGGCTTCCTCACCTTCATGCTCTTGCTGGGTCGGCTGCTTTGCTACTCTCTCTCTCTTGACTGCACTGAAGAGCAGGGTTGGTTCCCACCTTTTCAGGGTCTAGGACTTCTATCTTGCTCCTTGACCAGGTGATGGCTCCATCCTCAAAGCATACGCCCCAAGGATGCCTCACCAGCCCGGACTTAAGCACGCAGTCATCTAATTGACCTGTTCCTGCTACCGCCCCTTCCTTGCTATGTTGGCCTTTGTCTTTTCAGGTGCCTGCATACCCCAAAATCTGGACCCCTATCCTGGCTGCTGCTATGCTGAGCTGCACGCACTTGCACTTTATCTGCTTCTATGTCCTATCTCTGCTATACATGTTTGCGACGCCGGGATCTTTTCAGTTGCGTCCATGGCCCCAAATCTACACCCCTATCCTGACTGCTGCTACGCTTTACTGCATGCACTTGCGCTTTATCTCTCCTATGCCATGTCTCTGCGTTGAAGGTCTGAGAAGCCGAAATAGCTCTGGCCGTGGTGGCCGGCGGAACACGCCAACGGCGGTTAAATAATTGCCAAGAAAATTTGATTCACAGAAGCCATAACACTTGAGGTGTGATACCTGGATGCTGTTGATATGCATTGATATGCCTGATATGTCTGATATGTGCCCAAGCCATTGACCTTGCTGTGCGCCTTGACAGTGGTGAGATTTTCTGAGTCAGGCACTCTCCTCTATGTTGTCTTCCTGCCAAATGATATGAAAACAGCCTGTCAGATCCAATTCCAAGCCATTCCCTGCACCATTTCACATTCGAAGCAGGTGTCACAGTCCACAAAGAACTTGTCGGCGCATTTCTGGGTCTTTGGCCTGATCGAAATCACCACATTTTTGGATCACCGCTGTTTCATGCTGTTTCACTGCGTCAATCCTTTCAGAGGTCAGCCGATGTCACACTCTTTTGCTGATATATCAGCAAATCTCAGCTGAGTCCAAAGTCCAAGAACCCGACGCTTCAGCACTAGACATTGCCGCCACGTAGTAAATTCTGCTTCTGTGGGCTGCGGGTCTGCTGTTGCGGCTGCTTGAGGTCTTATCTATATTGTGATGATTGGTTTTACCAGTTTTACCTATTTGACTTGATCCCAGATCCGTTTATTCCACTTTATATCCATTTATGCTTGGCCGTTTTCCATAGGGAGCGATTGTTGACGTGCGCTCGCGGATATTTGACCATGCGTCCATGCCCTCTGACCCCAGCGGGCATGTTGGGCCAACATGCCTGTGGAAATCTGTGGAAGTCGCATGAAGTCGCACCATGTCGCACCAACATTGGTGGTCAAGGGAAACCTTCAACAGTCTCCAAGCCAATGCAGCCAATGGGCATTCAAAAAGGCTATAGCGGCTATGCTGGTGCTACCTGTGCTATGCTTGGTGTGTGGGTGAAATATGGTGAAATGTTGCCCCTGGTTGCCAGTCGCTGCCAGGAAAACAAAAACTTCCCCAGTTTCCAGTCGCTGCGCTCTGTTTGGCCGGTTTTTCACAACAGCTTGGAACTTGCCACTGGATTCCCATCACACAAGTCACTCAATGTCACTCGTCACCACAAAGACGGCAATGGACACTTGCGAAATGGCAGGTGTGCTGGCCCAGTATAGCGCCATGTGTGACAACCACACATCTATTGTCTATTGTTGTTAAAAAAGTGGTGCAAGTCGATATGTCACACTCCTTCTGAGTGCAATTTGTGGACCATGGGTTCCTAACTATGGGCGGAAGCACTTTTGAAAGCGTCCCAGGGTCTTTTCGCAAACCCTGGGGTGTGCTTCGCCCCTTTGAGATTCATTTCCCGGTGCCAAATCTCTTCCTCGAAGAATTGACATGGCCTCCAACGTTGCACCGAACTTCTAGCTCACATAATCTCACATAATTTGAATGTCAAGAGTCAAAATTTCTTGCGTTTGAGTTCAAACGATGTTGAGTTGAAGTGTCTTCACGAATGAGTTGGCACATTAGGTGTATGGTACATTTGCAAGGCACGCAGCATACGTGTAACCCTGGTGTGCTAAATGTTATTTCCAAAAGTGCAATGTGTTCTGCTTGTGGAAGAATCACATGTCGAACAAGAACACGCATTTCTGTTTGTCTTCCAGTTTCTGCCAGATTTTTGTGCTGTTTTCTCGCAGTTTCGTTTTCGTTTCAGTTTTGCAATGTGTCTCTCGAAAAAAAGGGACAAGTGCTCGTAGATAGATTTTGGTGCTATCTGACTCCAAACCATGTTGTGTCGAAGACAGCAGAAAAAGACAAGAAGAGGATGATACAGGTGCAGTATGATTACGTATCACTTCCATATTGTTTTACACTTTTGTACGCAGTCCTGAGCATCAAGGCTCCTAGCTGCTAGCTGTTCTCGATTTTTCTTCGGTCCTTGCAGCCAACACAACTGTGCTATCTGTGTCAAGGTCACAAACAATGGACCACTGCCGAAGGGAACCCGTGAAAATGAGTCAAAAATAGTCAAAATACATCAAAATATGTTGATCCATTTTGTATCATTTTGGCGAATCCAAACTATACACTGTATACACTTCCAACATCTTCCAACCAGCACTCGGAGGTTTGTGCAAACTAATCAAACCATTGGTGACACAAAGGGCGACAGGAAACCGAAGCCTGGCACGGTCCTCATCGCCGATGATGCGGCAGCTGATCCTCCTGCCTGACCTGTCCCAAGCTGGGAAATCGTCTCCTAAAAAACATCAAAATACATGGATGACATGGATTAAATGACATGGTGACACATGGGCTAACTTTAGTATCAATAATGTTATAATTTAGTATTGATAACTTATAACTTATTATAATTTAATAACCCCTGCGGAAGGTAGGTACCTAGGGAGAAGGCTCTGCCACCGTTTGCCCTCCAAATAAACGCCCTCCCAAGTTGAAGTCCTAAGAGATCAACCTTGAATCCATATCAACCTACGTTCAATTGATTTTCCTTTTAAAACAAAAGGAAATCTCAAGATTAGAAAGGATTTCAATTGATATCAATCTATGTTCAATTGATGTTCCTTTCAAAACCAAAAGAACACCTGGAACAAAAAAAAGATTTTCTCTGTGGGGGTTGCTTAATCGGATGATTCCCCCCGTTGATTAATCAAGGGGGACCAACCCATTTTAGTATTGCCCGAACATGTTTCCTGTGTGAAGGTTCATTGATCCCTAGGGATTCTATAATCACAACTACAGAATATATATATATGTCTATATATATAATAACATGCACTTTAGATGCTTCAACACCACCAAAAGCAACCAGAATCTGCATTCTGAAAGTTTGATTAACACCATCCAACACGGTTCCAAGTTGTGTCTCTGGGTCCACGGCAACTCGGAGCCTCAATGGTGAGCCGCTCGGTGATGCGATTGGGATGATGGGACGCGTCTTGGTTTGTCTCAATTAGGGAACCCATTGGAAACCCACATACCCTCTGGTAAACTAACATAACTATGGAAAATCACAATTTTTTATGGGAAAACTCACTATAAATGGCCATTTTCAATAGCTATGTTAAATTACCAGAGGGTAATCATAATTGAGGCACCCCTGGTCTTGCGATGCAGCCATGCAGACATTGACAAATACTATGTTATACATACAGTTTTACACTATCAGATCTAAACATATCTCCAACAAATATCAATAGTCCAACATAGTCCAACACACAAAACTTATGAAGATCCACCAGCTGTCATCAATTCTCGGCAAGCATCCATTCAGCTTCTGTGCCACCGAGTCCGCCTGCAGATAGATGTTATTCTACATTATTACTGAATATTAATGATCATGAGATCTTAGGTAGTCGGCTTGCGTAGTGATAAATGCATAGCTCATGGATCGATACTTGGGTATCTTGGGTAGATATATGAGTAATGGGCACACAGATGTGCATTGAGTGTATTAATGCTTTCAGTAGATGCCGTGGATACTGGGTCCGACAGATTTCCGCCTCCTTTTCAGTGCCAATGCGCGCCAGGGCACAAGGCGGTCGGTGAGATGGGTACACCTCATTCTGGAAAAAGCAAAGCCCACTACCCTTCGCAATTTGTATCATTTTGTATCAATTGAATTCATAATAAGTCCATATTCTTCCTCTATGTGATGCCTCCATGAGGCCGAGACCTTTCCTCCAAGGACCTTTCCTGCAAAGCAGTCCAAAAATCAGCAGCAGCAACTCCGGAAAAGCTGCTGGACACATCAGACCAGCTTCCAGGAAATGCTTGGATTTGTTTGGACTTGTTTAAAGGAAAAAAGGAAAAGACATGAAGAGAACTTTCTGGTCGCCCTGCTTCACTCTGTTTCACAGTTCCTGTTTCACAGCCCTGTCAAAGCCTCCTGCTTGCGTCACCAGCCTCCTCATGCAGCCTCATTCCATGTGGTGGGACTATGTGGGACTGGTGGGAAGATGTACCCCACCACCACACATCTCCACACCACTGGAGTCACTGGAGCTCCCGGCTCCAGTTGGATTTGGGTGGCAGGTCGCCAATGAAAATCCATGCCATGGGCTCCCCTCAGGTCATAATTCAGGGCTGCACTGAATCTTACAGAGATCCCTGTCGGGTGCACAGGCTACACACAAAAGAACATGACAACTCACACAGCAAAAACGGGGACTGACCTCAGGACTGACCTATCGGACACACCTGGAAGACGGGAGCGCTTCGGTCTTCTTGTTATCTTTCAAATTCTTTCAATATTTCACTCTACACATCTCTGCAGTTGTTCTGATCTGCCAACCATGGAGGAATCCTCGATCCCAGGATCAGTGGCGACGGAGAACTCAGCACATCTCAGCACCTCACCATCGTCTGGCGACGGAGAACGCTCCTTCCGCCGCCCTGTGCCTTGGTCAGAGCTTCCATCCAGGGATGCCCAGGGATGCCCAGGGATGGAGTCAAATTGCAACCAAACTCCAGATTCTCCAGATCCAACTTTGCACAGTGAGCTTTGGGCTTCGGGATCTGCTGCGTGACCTTCAAATGACCAAGCCCAAGTTCAACAAATCAGCTACATCGGCTGCCAAAATGATCTAAGTTTGAAGTTTAAATAACTACACAGTATAATCACAGTATTACAGATTATTACAGTATGTCCAAGATGTCGAAATTCTTGCCACCTTGGCATCAGAGGTTGAGGTTCGGAGATTTCGGAGGCCAGAACATGCCACAAATCGATCAACTCGAACCAGTCACCATCGAGGAATGGCGCCTCGGCATGGCCAACTCCGGGAGCAACTTGAGCCAATCGCAGCCAAGTGCAACACACGGAACGTCATGGAACGTCAGAGATTGTCAGATTGGGTCAGGAGCATTTCTCATATTTTCTCATTTCATCACGATTTCTCGTCACTCAGCAGGACTCAGCAACTTAGGACTTGGATGCTCTTGGATGGTCTCATAGTTGACATCGTCTTTTTCAATTCCATCTCGGAAGCATCGTCTTTTTCAATTCCATCTCGGAAGCGCTGAGGTATGACCCCGCTATCAGCAGTGTGCTGAAAGGTTAGGCAAGGCATCACCTGACAAGATGGGCTCACTTCACGTAGATCCTACCGGTACTTCACCCCGTTCTCTGGAGTGGGATGGCCCTATGGTCCCCGGCCTCGCATTTGAAGTGTTTCGATCTGTTTCGATCTGTTTCGATCTGTATCTGTTCGAAATTCAATGAGGACACACCTCTCTGTGAGCTTCTGTCGCGTGCACGAAGCTTTCGGAGCAAATCACTGCAGCCAACGGGGGCCTCTGTATGTTGAAGGAGTCCAGCCATGGTTCAAGTAGTACACCGCCGTCAGACGCCGCCGCCCAGCGCCTTTCTCGGCCGTGGGCAGCGCGTCGCGATGGCGCGCATAGCGGGCACCGCCTCCAGGGTACCGTGCCAGCATGCAGCTGAGGCGACGGCTCCCGAAGCCGGCCTGAAGTCATGACACCGACTCGATGATGATCGCACTATTCTGTAGATCTATATGTGTGCAATTTTGGGTGTATATATAATGTGTGTGTGCGTGCGCCTGTGTGCATGTTGACATTGATATAATCCTGTATTATATGGTTCCAATTCTGTGTGTATCTATATGTTGACATACCATTGCCATCAATATCAATGACACCCATCAAATTTGATGAACGCGCAATCCTGAAAACTGTGAAGTGAAGCCTGTAACATGCCCAACCGAGAAAGACCAAAGGTCTGCAGAGAAGATGATTGCAGCGAACTTGGAATCAATTGGACCTCATCGAGTTCGCTGCGCAGCGCTGCAACCATGGCCAGTAGCACATCTAATTCCTTCGAAATCACGGGACTCGGCAACAGTCGCACCGCGGCAAACACAAATGCCAAAGCAACACGTGCCGCGGTGCCTTCTTTTCTTCTGTCGCATTCGAATGGTCTGTGCAGAAATAGTGATTGAAATTTAAGCCATGCACTTAAGATCATTTAAGGATCCGTGTCTTTTGCACTCACTTTCGCTGCTTCTTTCCAGGCTTTGCCTTGGACTTCACCCTGGACTTCACCCTGGACTTCACAGCCTTCTCCTTCTCCTTCTCCTGCTTCTTCTTCCACGCCACGGCAACTTGGAAGGAACGCTCCAGCTCGGCCTCCGAGTGGTCCTTGGGCCTGATGTAGAAATTTCGCTTGGCTCCCGCCACGAGGCATGCTGAATACCATTGCTGGGACCTCTGCTCCCAACTGACCCCTCTATATGGCACCTTGGGGTGGAACACCGGCAGCTCCGACAGGGTGGCCACGGGCTTCACCTGGCGCTGCAGGCCGGCCTTCTCCATGAGCAACAGGGCCTTGGCTTCGGCCGCAGCCTTCTCGGTGAAGACGCCGCCATAAATCCCCTTGCCGCCGCTGGGATGCATCAGCACCTCCCACTTTTTGCAGTTCTTGTTCCACTTCACCCCCGGCACTTCGCTGGTGAAGTTGGGGTCCTTCTGCTTGGGCTCGGTGAGGATGCCCTTCTCCACCAGCTCTGCACGGAAGGCCTTGGCGGCCTCGAGAGCTGCTGCGTCGGCCTGGGCCTCAGAGATGCCTGGGCCCATGAAGTTTTTCACGGCAAAGTTCCGAGTTGTTCTGCGAGTCTTTTGGCCTTTGGCATCTCGTTCGAAAAATTGAACGCACCAGGATTGCATGGTGTTATGCCACGTGACATTTGGCACGCCGCTTTGCTTCGCCACATTGTTTCTTGTGAACACGTACGGTTGCTGCTCCCCACAAGTTGGTAGTGGATTCTCTGCAGCGGCCACTGCGATTGGGGCTTCTTCTTCGATCTTTTCGTCTGAAGGTTTCACCTCCTCTGCTGCAAGACCCACAGACTCGAAGACTTCCACGCCCTGCATGGCATTGCTGCCGCCTGAGGACGAGAGCCGTCGGAGACCGCTCTCATCGAAAGCCCAACCATGACCCGCCCAAACGGAAGTTGGCAAATCCCTCATCCACGGCCACATCTTCATGCAATCCAGGCCGCGGACCTTGTAGTCCTGACATTGGCAAGATTGGCCAGGAACATCGGGGGGTCTCCATCTGGCTGTGCGAGACATGCCATGATAACAAGCAGAAACGAGTCGGCTTTTAAATTAATGCAAATGATTTATAAGACGGAATGCAGGCGCATCACAGTTCATAATGGAGCCTATCCAGACAGGCTGGTCCTGCATTTGCAGGTCGCAATCCGATGGTGGCTTTGGTGGCATCGTCTGCAAACATGGCCCAGATGCCTCTACCTGCAGGAAACGGTTGGGAACGTTGGGAAAGAGTTTGACGAAGATGTTTGAATCCTCTCCCTACTGCTGCTACAAGGGGCACTCTTAAAATCTATGGACACCCTATGAATAGCACCCAAAGTACAGCGGAGAGCTCAGGGACACATTGGAGAGGGGACAAACTGCGGCCTCACTCTCTAACGGAGTTTTGCACAGGCTGTGCTTATCGTAAAATCGCTGCAGGCACTGTAAGCCATGCCCAGAGAGCCGCAGCACGCATGCTGGCGCATCTGGTGGTGGAGGAGATGGTGTTCCAATTGCCGAGCCCAAGAAGAGGTTCGCAGGGCAGCAGGGCCTGCATTTGCGGGCTCGCAGCATATTGCAACATGTTCGCCGTTCGCCGATAACATACGCGATGGAAACTCAGCGTAATTACATGTGCGCGCATGTGTGTGTGTGTGCGTGTGTGCACTTATTTTACTGTACATCTTGCATGCATAATATGTTTGCAGTGAAACCAATGCCCTTTACAAGCCACCAGTGACCTATGACATAGAGGCATTGACTTGAATCTCGTCCATAAGTTCTTTGGCAACCAAACTGCGCAGGATTGCTTTCAATATCAACGAAAGTTTTTGATGTCACGAGAATAGGACCTGGTGGGGCTCCAAGTCTTGGAACTCCGAAAAGCCAAGCACTGCTTTGCCCAGGCCGCTGCTTGCAAAGCGAATGCATCCAAAGAGCTCTCCTCGGCAGCAAAGTCCTCCAAAACAAAGCGGGTTGCATCACCCAACTTGCACTACTCTGCAAGCTACAAAGGAAGAGAGGAATAAAAGGAATCACTTTAAACTTCAAACCTCTGTGGCTGTTCGGTTGCGTTTGTGATCATCTCCACGGCATTGTCTTTGTATCTTTGAGTATCTTTGTAAACAAGGTTTCTGCTAGCTCTAGCTCTGCAGTCGGTTCTCCCAGCATCTGTCCTCCTGACCTACGACCTGGGCTGTGTCTTGCGTGCTGTGTTCGCTTGGTTCCTGATGCCTCTGGCAAGATGCCTGCGCTTCGCTGGAGCCAGAATCTTGCTCCGATGGTCGCATGGCATTTCCTGCAGCTGGGCTTGAAGCTGCAAGAATCACACCAGACTGCTTGCGGATTTCTTCCCGGACTCGGAGCCACAAATCATCCATCTCCATCCTCCTCTTCTGTGGGCTGTCAAGATTGGCTTGTTGCTCAGCACATTTCTCTGTTTTGACCTTCACACCATCAGGAATCTCTTTCTTTGCTGAGCTCAGTCCATCTGTCTGCAGAGTCTGTTGCAAATCGCGACGGGTCAAACGGCGCCGCTTGGCCGGTTTGGGTTCTGTCTCAGCTGCCACTTGACTCTTTGCAGCTGTCACGCTCTGCTCTGGTACCATCTCAGTTGCAACTTCATAGCCGCAGCTTGTAAGATTTTGATGCTGCTCCTCCGCATTCTCATCTTTCACCCGGACATCCTGAAGAGGGAGTTCACAATCAAAACTTGAAGACCTCATCTCGTCTTCTATCTCCTCCTTGATCTCTGTCTTCACCCGCAGCTGAAAATCATCCATCTCCATCCTCTTCTGTGGACTTTCAAGTTTGACTTGTTGCTCAGCACATCTCTCCGTTTTGACCTTCACAGCATCAGGAAGCTCTTTCTTTGCTGAGTTCAGTCCCTCTGTATGCATTGTCTTTTGCACATCCCGGCGGGTCAAACGGCGCCGTTTGGCCGGCTTGGATTCTGGCTCAGCTGTCGCTTGACTCCTTGCAGGTATCATGCTCTGCTCTGGTACCATCTCCTCAGTTGCAACTTCGTATCCGCTGTTTTTAGGATTTTGATGTTGCTCCTCCGCATTCTCATCTTTCACCCGGACATCCTGAAGAGGGAGTTCACAATCAAAACTTGAAGACCTCATATCGTCTTCTATCTCCTCCTTGATCTCTGTCTTCACCTGTAGCCACAGATCATCTGTTGCCTTCCCTCCCTTCTGTGGGCTTTCAAGATTGGCTTGTTGCTCAGCACCTCTCCCTGTTTTGTCCTTCAAGCCATCAGCGCCTTCTCTTGTTGCCAGGCTTGGTTCCTCTATCTGCGCAGGCAGTTTCACATCACCACTCGTCGAAAGCTGCGGTTCGGCAGCGCACGATGCGTAAAGTGACTCCATCCTTCCGGGTGTGGTGCGCTAGGATTCAAGTTCTCAGGCACACCAACTTTGGTGCCGCCCGGTATGCCTCCGTTGCAGAGCCCAAAACGGCAATGTGCAATGTAGACCTTTAAAGATTACCATTTGGCTCATGTATGTTTATGTTCTAGGATTGCGCATTCCAAAAGGATCCAAAAAGATCCAGAGGAAGTAACTTTCACAACCTCAATCAATCTACTTGCCGGGCTGGGCAAGCTTGGCATCATCTTGCACTTGCATGGCCTCACTATTGGCTGCATCAGCTGGTGGCATCACCTGCACCAAGCAGCCAGCTCTTGAAGTCTTTTTCCAGCTTGAACTATGAGGAAAAATATCGGAATAGCAGAATATGCTGGAATGTTTTCAGCTGGGGTAGTGAGCACTCCTTTGAGACCAGAAAGGTCAGATCTTCAACCCTGTGGTGCAGGGCCTCGCAGGCTCTCTGCAGAGCTTTCATCCCACACTGGAGGAAGCCTGGTAGCGGGTCACAGTTGAAGGGCGAGGGCCTTAAAACAAAACCAGAAGAGATCTCAAAACACCAGATGAGCATCAGCTGCTCCGCCCACCCCGGCTGAAGAAAACCCGAAACAGCAAGGGCAAAAAGGCAGGTACCCAACATGTCCCAACATTATTTAGCTGGTGCAGTCTGATAAATCATTGGTAAACCCTTCTCCCCATCTCTTCACCTCCTGCCATGTCCGGCACGTTCAGCCACGTCATCTCATCGCCACCTGAAAGGCGGCAGCCCCCATCCCCATGCGCAACAGAGTATGATGCAGTGTGAAGACATGCTGTTCAACCATGTGACAAACAATCTAGACCATATAGAGGTTCGGCCCGATGCCCCAAAATGTCAAGACACCCCAAGTCCTCCAAGACTCACCAAATGTTCCAGAGAGCGTGCAGAAGGGCACGAATTTGATTTTGGCAAAGGCGGCCACTTGCGGCCACTTGCGGCCACTTGCTCTGGCGGCCACTTGCGGCCACTTGCGGCCACTTGCTCTGGCGGCCACTTGCGGCCACTCGATTGGCTGTGGCTGCAAGTGGCTGCAAGTGGTTGCCGATGAAAAGAGAATGCGGGCGGAGACTGGCGGCCACTGGCGGCCACTCGATTGGCTGCAAGTGGCTGCAAGTGGCTGCCGATGAGAAGAGAATGCTGGTGGCCACTGGTGGCCACTGGCGGCCACTTGCGGCCACTCGATTGGCTGCAAGTGGCTGCCGCTGAGAAGAGAATGCTGGTGGCCACTGGTGGCCACTGGCGGCCACTGGCGGCCACTCGATTGGCTGCAAGTGGCTGCAAGTGGCTGCCGATGAGAAGAGAATGCTGGTGGCCACTGGTGGCCACTGGCGGCCACTTGCGGCCACTTGCGGCCACTCTATTGGCAGCAAGTGGCTGCAAGTGGCTGCCGCTGAGAAGAGAATGCTGGCGGACACTGGCGGCCACTGGCGGCCACTCGATTGGCTGCTTCTTTTAATAAGTCCTTCCTCTTAATTGCCTCTCCTTCATTTTTGTTTGAACTCGTGCGTTTTCGTTGTGGGTCTGTCCCTGTCGTTCCAAGTCTCTTATTTTTCGTTGCAGCGTTGTCCGCTTCTTTTAATAAGTCCTTCCTCCTAATTGCCTCTCCTTCATTTTTGTTTGAACTCGTGCGTTTTCGTTGTGGGTCTTTCCCTGTCGTTCCAAGTCTCTTATTTTTTTCGTTGCAGCGTTGTCTGCTTCTTTTAATAAGTCCTTCCTCTTAATTTCTACTCCTTCAGTTTTGTTCGAACTCGTGCGTTTTCGTTGTGGGTCTTTCCCTGTCGTTCCAAGTCTCTTATTTTTCGTTGCAGCGTTGTAGACTTTGGTTCCGTGGCCCTTCAGAGTTCTGGACAGACTTCTTTTTGGATTGGGCCAACTGTCCACCATCAAATCATCAAATCATCAAATCAGTATAAATCAGTATTCAATATTTATCTTTGGTGGTCCAAGTCGTACTTCAACCCCCCTCCAAACCTCGTTGCGTAGTTCAGGGATGCCACGTTTCTGTGAGATCACTGGGAGTTTGCACCTGGCACAGCGTCTTTCAGAGCTGCAAAAACAAAACACAGATAGACTGCTTAGATCTGCAAAACGTGTTGCAAGGACAGTGCAGGGACACGGAGAAATGATGACAATGACAAAATGCTACAAAATGTCTAAGTAATATAAGTAATGATAGTAATGAAATGGGCCAAATATGGCCAGTTGAATGATACTCAGTTCATCAAATTTCAGAAAAACATCACTCTCATCAGCTTTTTTTTGTCACCCCGCGACTCCACGATTCGCTCCTCAGCTACTCCAACTCAACCGACTGCCAGGACAGTCCCCGTTGGGATCGGCTCACCCCGCAGCTCTGCTCAAGCGCTCGGTCCGCTCGGTCCGCTCGGTCCGCTCGGTGCCGGCTGAAACAAATGCCTCAGCTTTGAATGATGTGCTAACTGGATAGCTTGATTCCAAAGGTCGCCATCAATTTCTCCTGGAAGTTTGGAGACTGAAGTTGCACAGAGTTGACCTTGTAGCCCTTTGGTTCCCATGATCTCCACCATCTGATTGGCCGGAATCTCCAAAGCCGTGGTGGTCTGAATTGGCAGGCTCCCACCATCAACGGTCTGCAGGATCCACTGCTGTTGGAGTTCACAACGGCCTGCCAAGCGCACAGCACTTCCAACGGGGGCTGCGTTGAACATGGCCATGTTGATGCGTTCAGCAATTGCTGCCATCAAAACGACACTCACGACACTCACGACACTCGAAATGGGATGAAATAAGAGGAGCACAAATTGAGCACCTTGAGAGCTTGAAACTTCACTTGAGCCGAGTATCGGTACACGATACAATGGACATCGGGAGAGCCCTTGAAGCCTTTGATGGTGAATCCATGTGAATCCTAATCCATTCAAATCATTCAAATCATTCAATCATTCAATCGAGTATAATCTAATTATATATATAATCATTATATATCATATATCTAATTCATTCATGTGCAGCATTGCATGCCACTTGCCGCCGCGAGGCCTGTGGACCGATTCACGGATCGAAACCCAGATCTGCTAAGGTCACCTGGCCGGTCACTCGCAGCCTGGTCACCAGCCTGGTCACCATACCATGGCACGCCATGGGGATGCCTATAGGCCTATATATAGAATCCATATCTGTATCCAATAAAAATTGCTCACCCACACAATATTCTCAATATATATATAATATATATATATATATATCAATACTGTATAAACGGTCATTCATGAATACATAGACTTATCATGACCTATTATACCGACCGCCTGAAAGATAGAATATTGTACTCTTAGTCGGGACAAGATAGAATATCAAAAAACACAGGGTCTAGCACCCACAAGATAGAATATTCTGAAATTAAAATAATCACAAGATAGAATATTCGATCTTTTCGCCGGTCAGTATAGATAATTATGGAATTGGGGGGAAATCCCAGTAAATCCCAGTAAAGCTGCGAAAACCTCTTTTTACAAATCAGCTAAGCCAACATGCCAAGTGGACTCCCTCCTGCCACGGTTATATATCTATATCTCTCTAAATAATATATATATATACACGTATCTTGGAAATCAGCACACAAACCTTTCCACGCAATGGAATGTTTCCACATATATAATTTGGAACCATGTCACGCCAGGGTCTCCAAAATATTCTATCTTGTCCGTTTTCGTATTTTTGAGCCTTATCAAAGCTCAAAGAATAACATTAAACAATTGAAAAACAATGAAAAATAATGAAAAATATAAAACAAAAACAATGAAAAATGATGGAAAAAAGAGAAAACAACAATGAAAAATGATGAACAAGAGGGAAAAAACAATGAAAACCGATTAAACATATGGAAAAAAACCGTGAAAAATGATGAAAAAAAAGCGGGAACACAAACAAGGAAACATGATGAAACATAGAAAAAAATAGAATATGATGAAAAAAAACGAAACAACAATGAAGAATGATGAAAAAGGGAGAAAAAACAATGAAAAATTATGAAAAAAATAAAAAACAATGAAAAATGATGAAACATAGAGAAACAACAATGAACCATGATGAAAAATTGAAGAAAAAAACAATGAAAAATGATGAAAAATAAAGAAACACAAATACCAATTTAAAAAAATATAGAGAAAAAACAATGACGTTTTCCATCATTTTTCATTGTTGGCTCTCTATTTTTCATCACTTTTCATTTTGCTTCTCTATTTTTCATCATGTTTCATTGTTTTTTCCTCTCTTTTTCATCATTTCTCATTGTTTTTTCCTCTCTTTTTCATAATTGTTCATTCTTGTTTCTATTTTTTCATATTTTTTCATTGTGTGTTTCATTGTTGTTTTTCTATGTTTCATTATTTTTCATTGTTGTTTCTCTATTTTTCATCATTGTTCATTGTTTTCCCTCTCTTTTTCATCATTGTTCATTGTTTTTTCTCTCTTTTTCATCATGTTTCATTGTTTGTTCTCTCTTTTTCATCATTGTTAATTGTTTTTCTTCTCTTTTTCATCATGTCTCATTGTTTTTTATCTCTTTTTCATCATGTTTCATTGTTTTTCCTCTCTTTTTCATCATGGTTCATTGTTTTTTTCACTCTTGTTCATCATGCTTTCTTGTTTTTTTTCTCTTTTGTTCATCATTTTTCATTGTTTTTTCATGTATTGTTCATCATGCTCCCTTGTTTTTTCTCTCTTTTTCATCATGTTTCATTGTTGTTTTCACTGTTTTTAATCATGTTTTCTTCTTGTTTTTCTCTCTTGTTCATCATTTTTCATTGGTTTTTCCTCTATTTTTCATCATGGTTCCTTTTTTCCCTATTTTTCAACATTTTGCATTGTTTTGTCCTATCTTTTTCATCAGTGTTCATTGTTTTTTCCTCTCTTTTTCATCATTTTTCATTGTTGTTTCTCTCTTTTTCATCATTTTTCATTGTTGTTTCTCTACTTTTCATCATTTTTCATTGTTTTTTCTCTCTTTTTCATCATGTTT